CTTTTTCTATCTCGCTTAAAATCGATTCAGTATTCATAAATAAAATCTCTCTCTCTCTCTCTCTCTCTCTCTCTCTCTCTCTCTCTCTTCATCGAAATAAGATTTAGTCGAATACAATTATGATAATTGCCATATTGTACCATACACTACTTAATGATGATGGATGGATGGATGAATAGGAAAAAAAATATACACAATGTGACAACCTTTACTTAGATTTTTTCCAAGTAAATAAGTAAGTAAATGTAATGATTTTAATAAGTGTTGTATATATTGACCATTATGATGATTATTTTCAAATAAATAATAATAATAATGGGAAAACCAATCAAACTAAGTAAGTAAGTAATGATGAAATCCGATTATCTTTAGATTCGCGTAATTTGGATTTCGAAATTTTTTGGGATTCTGTTTTCTCCCCGTCTTATATACTTCAAAAATGAATAACACATGTTTTTTTTTGCTCGGCAATGATGATTGATCGATTTTTCGTGAATTTTTCATTTTGAATTTTTTAAAAAAGAAGAATTTACCATCGCCATCTATTGAACCGAAATGTAAATATTGTTGATTTAAAAAAAAAAATGTTTTTGAATTACACAACGAAAGATGGCGATAATGTTACCGGTTACGACAACGATAATGACAATTTTCATTTATCAAGATTAATTGAAATTATTTGAATTTTAGTTTTTTTTTCAACCACACACCTTTCAATTATTCATTCATTCATTCAGGTAAAAATGTGATTATCGTATTGCAATCATAAGAAAATCAATCAAATCAAATCAATTGAACAACAACAACATTTGATAACAATTCAACCGCGAATGAAATCAATCTTGATGATGATAATAATGTCAATCGTATTGATTCATTGAAATTGATTTATTCATTGAATCTCAATCGATTTGATTTGATCGTTTGTTTGTTTGTTTGTTTGGTTTGATTTGATTGATTTGTTGTACCAATCATCTTCATCGCCATGGTTTAAATTGTAGCAAAATAATTTAACCAAAAAAAAAATTTCAATTTAAAAAAATCAAAAAATCAAAATGAAAATTCTTTCGGATTCGGGGTGCAAACTTGTGATCAAACTTGGCCATCAACCATTGAAACCGAAAAAAAACAAACAATTTATATGGTTGAATAATTGTCAATTTTTTTGATTGAATTTTTTCCCATTTATTTACACTTTGTTTGTTTCGATTTTAGTTTTTTTTTATTTAATTGGAATCCGATCATCATCAATCGATCGATTGATCGATGTCAATCTAACCATGACGGTTGTGGCGCCGCTATTTCGACATTTGAAGCTTTTTTTTCATTGTTAATCAAAACAAAAAAAAATGATGCAATCAACCAAGTATCCATCTTAAAAAGTCAATTTGATTCCAAAAATCAAATGAATGGTAAACACAGCAAACACATCAATCCATTTTTCGTTTGATTGATATATCAAAAAAAAACATTACCCAAACATCATCATTATTATCAAATGTAACTATGTAATTTTTTTGCCGTAATTGACATTTGAATTTATCTTATCATTATTTGTTTGTCTATTAAGATCTGTCATCATCATTGGTATCATCAGTAGAG